TAACAAAACAACAAAAGTTAAATATTACTAAAATCCTCCTTATCATAATAAAGGAGAGCATGCGTTAAAATATTGAAACTAATAAAAAAATAAAAGTATAAGATAAAAATTGAAAAAGTCGACAGCCGGTTTTTATATTCCAAGTCTATTTTTCTATTTTAAGTTAGCTCTCACAACCTCTGAATTGTTCGAGAGGCGGCAATACTTGAATATTTAACTTGTGATTGTGCAGTTGTGCCGAACAAGGGGGGTCGTCTTTCATCACTAGTACCTGGTGCGTCGATGCATGATGAAGTGTAGGGAATATTTTGGTGATCTCGCACTTATTCATGTTTTGGTCCCACGAGGGGTGATCCACTACGTCGGGAGCCCCGCATGACGCAACAAGGTTAAAATACTCTCTGCTATCAGAGAGGATCCGTTTGTCGCGGAACCCAGTTTACTCCCCTTCCCGGCTATCAACTAGTAACTGGATCGGGGGGGGGGCGAGACATGTTGAAGATAGGTTGTTACCATTAACCTATGCCCACCGAGATTCTCTTAGTTGCCCCACCTCATTCTTGACATTTTTGGCATGTTTGAGCCAACTAGTCGCCGCAGTTTCGTGGAAATGGTGGAATCTCATAGAGACAGATGTCACCCATTGAATAAAATAAGACATTTAAGTAATCTAGTGTTTAGTTACAATTATCATTCATTTTAAATTTATATATACAATAAAGTGGAAATCACCACTTTATAAAGCTAAAGATTGTGTTATTTTAGGCATGAATTAAATTCGGAGATCCTATTTGAATAAATCTTAAAAATTTAATCAAATTCCAGAATAGCATTAGTTTACAAATTGTGAGCATTTCTACTTTTTTTGTACAGGTTAAATATAGATTGAAATATTTGAGAACGAATTGCTTATCTTATAAAACAGAAGACGCAAACATTAAAATAAATTTTTATGAAATTATTACTGTGTTTCTTAAATAACTCCAAAATTTTCATCAATAGACAAGCAATTGTATGACAATAAGAAAATCCAGTTAGAAAATCATACATGTGTAGGCTTAAAATCAAAAATATTTTATTCAAATTATTTTATATTTAATTGGAAATAGAATGATAAACATGTTTTACATAAAAAATTACTGAAATTTTGTTATAAGAATTGAATTTATTTAATTTTGACCTAGATTGTATCGGAGAATTGCTCTTAATATATTGTAATAGAAATACCAAATCGTTAGTTAACCAGGTTGTCTATGTTATGTTCATTATAAATCTATCTATGCATTTATAGTACAATTTTTGGCCATCTTCACTAGAATATTACAAAAAAAATTGAAATTAAAATTGAATATGAATGAAAGTTGTATTACTCGTTTTACTTTTAGAACTGAATTTTATTTATTTTTTTTTGGAAATCAATTATTTTTGTAAATATTGCAAAATCTAATTCAATAGCATATGGCCTACATTATTACCCATATTGCTGCATTAAAATTTAAATGTACTAAATTTTGTACAAATAGTTGTTTGTGTACTTGTAATAAAATCTAGTGAAATTAACATGTAAAATAACCATTTCTTTCTCTTATAACATTTAATTTTATTATTTTTTTGTTTCTCTGGTTTTGTTCGCTTTGTTTCTACAATATAATGTTGAAATACAACTAATAAGAAAGAAAAAAAAAAAGCAAAATTAACAAAAGCGGACTTAAAAAATAAAATCCAATTTATATGAAAAGAGTGGTGAACCCAGAAATTACCACAAAGATGAAGAGAATATTATCTCTATACGAGTATATGCAGTTGCATGTAAAATAACAACGTTATACTTATAATATTGTTATACTATTGTATTATCAGGTTTAAAATTAAGCTCGCTATACATTATGCACTGGTGCTTATCCACATATACTTGAATTATATTGCAATATAACATACTTGCTTACTCATATAGTCATATATTTATAAAATAAACTGAAAAGTGTTATATGCGGCACAAAATATAACATGAAGTATTAATGGAAGAGTATAATATATGTATTTAAAAAATACTTGTGTGTGTGTGTGGAAAATTCATTTTGTGAAAATGCATTAATTCATTTATTCAATATAAAATTTACATATGCATATATGTAGGTATACAAACATTTAAAATAACAACACTGGTAACTAAACGTTTACAGTCAACAAAATCTTGGTACCAATTTTTTTTTGTATCTTTTATATATACGAATATGTAGAATATATGTGTGTATAATTAAATTTATGTGAATTATACATTTGATGAGGGAAAATGCAATTTATTTTGTGGTCTTCTTATTTTGTTTTCTATTTGGTTACTTTTGTTATTCATAAATGTTTTCGTGTTATGCATACTTACATACAAAGAGTTTTTTTGTTGTTTTTGGTGTGTTAAGAATACCTGAAAAATTATACTTTAATTTAATTATAAGAGTTAAAATTTAATTTCAAGATTTTTCGTATATTAGATATATGAAAGTTCAAAATTCGAGTAAAACAATTAATTTACGAATTAATTCATAGAAGTGGAATGAGCGCATACATACTCGTGGGTGAAAATATAATGTGATAAAGAACCTATTATAATAATAATGAAATTAATTAAATTTTAATTTTATTTAACTGATAAAATCCATCAGGAATCAAATTAGTTTTATATAAAAAATTAAACTACTGGTAAAAGTTGATTAAACTGAATTTAATGATCAAAATAATGTAAAACACACGGTTCAAACAGAATATATGAATATACTTTAAGAACCCAATTATGAAAATTTGAATAATATTAGCTTAGTGAGGCCTTCAGATAATAATAAAGATGAAATGCTATGGAAAAATTGTGTTTAGCTAAATATATGAAAGTGAACTGTTTGACCTTTAAGATTATTGTAACTTAAAATTTACTTACTATTTTGCATTATACATAAATAATAAATAAAATATTTCCAAAAAATCGATTATTGTACATTATCAATTTCAGCCAAATTCATCTTCATTTCCACTTACAAGTGTACATACATACAATTATGCTATTAAATATTTTCCCAGTCATCATTAAGGTATTATTTTTTGTTATTTAATTTTAAGGTTATTGAATGATTGTATTGTGTGTGCAAATTTTCATCATGAATATTTTCATTTAAATTTTTCTCTTCTCTTCTTTACTTTCCTTTTGATCTATTTGTACAATATATTCTTCTCTAACTAACACTCTTTCTGTCTCTCTTTCTCTCTCTCTCTCTCTCTCTTCGTCTCTTTGTTTTTGAAGTACTAAATTTCCTTACTGTTATTTGTTATATTTTCTTTCTGTTTTGTTTTTCTTTTATATTCGTTCATCAGGTGTTTTTGGGTTTCTTCTTACCTGTTTAAGTTTTTTTTTTTTGTTTTTTACTTGTTTTCTTTTATTTTTATTCTCTTACTTGTTTATTTGGTTGTTCGTTTTCTTTTCATTTTTTTATTGTATTTATTTTTTTTTTTGTAAAAAAAAAAAATATTTATATTTAGATTAGCTTAGTTTTTTTTTTTTTGAAAAAATATTCTGTTATACTACAGGTATTTTCATTGGAATTCAAAGATTAACCTGTTAGTTTGAAAATAAACGTCGTTGCTTAAGCAAGTAAAAAGCGCTCTTTTTTCTCTATTAATTTTGTGTGCGCGGTATTCTTTGTTTACATATAATTTTTGGATTAAAAAAAGAAAAAAATAAAATAAAAATTTTTTTAATTAAAAATATTTGTTTTTGTTTGTTTTTTTTTTTGTTCGCGATTCATTTGATTGTAAATCGTTGCATTCGTCGCTTGTATTGTAATTGTTTCGTTTAATGTTTGTAACGCGTCACGATAATCTTATACTTTTTTGGTTTTCCCATACGCATATTTTTCAATTTGTTCGTCTTGTGTATTTTTTTTATACTCATTTATAAATCGATGATATTGTTATACACATATAAAGTGTTGTTGCTTTTTTTTTGGGATTTTATTTGTTGTGATCTACTTTTTCATTTTTTGAAGTCGCGGATCGTGTTTCATTTTTTTTTTTTTAGAAAATAATTTGTGCATGAAGATGGAATATTAAATTGCAAATTTAAAAATACTGAACAAAATACACAATTTTTATTTGAATAATGTGCTGTTCGGAATAAATTCAATTATTTATAATATGAATATATGAAGAAATATAATATATATATTAAAATAACAGTAGTGTAGAAGTAATAAAATATTAGAGAAAATAACATAGTTAATATAAATTTCTATATATGTATATATGCATTTCTTATGCATGTGGGTATATTATTTACCGCCGACTACAAAATATAGTAATATGTTTTTTTTGTTTATGATAATGATGATGATGACGAGGTTTCTTGTTACTTTTAATGCAGTAATTACTTATTTGTTTATATTTTATACACAATTCACATAATAAATGAAAAACAAAAATAAAAATAAAATTATTATATCTATATTTTGAGTATATTACAGTAATACTATAATGTAATAATATCTCATGTAAAATAGATACTTGCATATTATAGTAGAATATGGTTTAAGAGGATTGCGCATATGAACAGTTTATAATTTAATTTATGCCTTCAAGCCTCTAATATACAAATATACTATATACATGTACTAATATAATAACGTTTGAAACTAAAGTGAATTTTAACTATTATAAAAAAAATTTCATTTTATTTTTGGTTTTTACAATATCTACAATTTGAAAAAGAAAAGAAATTATAAGGAAAACAACAACCACAGCTTGAATTTTTCATAAATACAATTTTAAAACTTTATTTATTTTGTTCAAGATATTGTAATAGTTATACGAGAATTGAAGTAGAGAATTAGTGTTGAATACAAAGTTTCGTGATTTTTATAGAGGTAAACACAAAAAAAAAAAAAAAAATTAAAAATGAAATTGAAAAAATTCGTGAGTTAAGTATTTGCGTATAGTAAGTGATTTCTTTTTTGTTTTTGTTTATATTATGCCTATATAGCATATATTTCACATGTTATTATTATGTACATATATATTTTATGTATATGTATGTTGACATGTTCATTAGAAAATCCCATTGCATATTTGAAGTGAAATTATAAGATTTTTTTATTTTATATTTTAAAGGAGTGCAATTGAAAAATAATTATTGTATTTTGTTACATGAATGCTTAATTTTTTTTTAGTTTTATAATTTAATTCAAAATCTAGCAATTTATAGTTTCAATTTAAAGTGAAATAATATATGAATATATGTATGTAATTTGTACATAAATAAAGAAAAAAGGTTAAAAATATTAAAATTAATACAAGCATAATAAGATTTTGTAAACATTTAACTTCATATGTAAATAAATTAAAACCCAACACAAGAAAAAAAAAAAGAAAAGGGAAAATTTTTTTCAAAAATAGAAATTAATCATGAACAATGTCAACGGATTTAACATTGGAAAATGATTTACAATTTCATATACAACAAAATCAACTTAAAATAGCGGCAACAAAACGAAATTCAACATTAACACGTCGCGCCAATTTATTATCATGTAAACAATGGTGGAAAGTTTGTTTTATTTATGATGATCAAAAGGATTATTATCGTAAAAAATATGGTAAAAAATTGATTACGTCAAGAAATTTAATAAAAAAACAAAATTCTATTAAAAATATGAAATCGAAATTAAATACTGTAATGTCTTCAAAAACTACTCCGACAACAACAACAACAGCTACTACAAATAATAATAGTACTACTAATACTAGTAATAATAATAATAATGAAAATCGTTACTCAATATCATCATCTTTAAAAAATCTATCACCACAAAAACTAATCAATTCAACCAAAAACTCTTTACGACTTCGCTCAAGGAAGCTTTTATTCTTAAGTAGGCACAATAATAATAATAATAGTAGTAATAGTAATAATAATAATGAACAAAATGATGAAATTTCTTTACAACCAAATAATTTACAACGGCAAAATCAACAACAACAACTAGTTAAACAACAACAAAATGAACAACAAAATTATCAATATCATCATCAAATATTAAATGACCAAAGTATTTTATTTTCAACTTACTATAGTAATAATAGTAATAATAATAGTTTATATACGTCTACAACAATAGCAACATCTACAACGATACCAACAACGATTACAACAGAAAATTTACAATATAAATATAAAAATTCTGATGTAAATGCAAATGATCATCTTATGAATATTTGTAATATTTTAGATGAACCAACAAGACAGAATGCAAAAGTAGCTGTACTTGATGATCATTTCTTATCAACATGTAATAATAACATTAATGATTCTTTAATAAATAAAAATAATGAACAGTTACCATCAAAAACAATAAAAAGACTTTCAGAGAAAAATTTACAACATCAGAATCAACATTTTCCAGAACAAGAACAACAACAACAACAACAACTACACTATCAAGATCATCAAAATGGAAAATTATTTCAAAAACATAAAATATTTCCAACCCAATTCAATAATGTTGCATCTAATAATTTAAATAATAGAGAAAACTTGTTTTTAAACGTTCAACAAACATCATTTTCAAATGGAATATCAACATCAGTATCACCATCATTGTCACTATCACCATCAATATCTCTATCACCAGCATTATCATCACCATCATCATCACCGTCCGGTTTAAAAATTTTTTCAAAAATTGATAGATTTTCACTTAAAAATCAACAAAATTTAATTAAACATACTTTTGATGTTGAAGATTTTAACGACACTAGTACTAATTTAATTTCAAAACTAAATAATAATAATAATGATGTTGATGATCAGCAACATCAGGTTAAAATTAATGAAGAAAATATTAATGAACTTAAATTTATTGAATGTGGTAGTGAACAATATTTGCCTAGAAGAAAATCATTATTAATATCAGATACAACTTTAATTAATAATTATACAAATAATATAAATGAGGATAATAAAAAAAATTGTAATAATAATAATTATAATAGAAAAATTAATATTGATGATAATTTTATTGATGTTGATAAATTGAATAACAGTAAATCATCTTCTTGTCCAGCTACATTTTCATATTTATCGAAAAATTTTTCAACTCCAATACAATTAAAATCACCATTATCATCATCATCATCAACACCAGAAATTTTAATAAAATCACCATCATTATCACCATCAATATCAATAGAAATTGCTACAAGTTGTAATAATACAAATTCAAATAGTATTAATACATCAAGAAGTTGTAGTAGTCAAAGTACAATAAGTGGTTGTAGTAATAAAATTAATCAGTATAAAGAAAATGAAATAAATAATAATAATAATAATAATTTAAAAATACATAATGGGAACACAAGAACAACAGCAACAGTAATACCAAAAATAGCAGAAACAGCAATAACATCAACTTCAACATCAGCTGTTAAAAAGAGATTATATTTTAATGAACATGACCTAAGGCATCTATATATATGTAGAAATCGTACAGGAGTATGGTATCATGATGATGAAATTAATTTTAGTTTGAGTGATGTGACATCTGTTGGTAGAAATAATGATAAAAATCAAAGAATTATTAAAAATTATAATAATGAATTATCATTGGAAATTAATAAGGGAATTCTAGCTATGGATCTTGATTTGAATTTAATGTAAGTTGAATTTAATATCAATTAGAATTTTATTGTTATTTCGAGACTTATATAAAGACCTTATAAATTTACTAGTTAACCGAGAGCAAATCAAAAGAAAGCCTCAGACAATTTTCTTTTACATACTTTTGCTATAAGTCAAAATGCAACAAGTTAAGAAAAAATCAATTCTACTTTTCTCATTTACAAAATTAGGTTATTTTATTAAACAAATCCAACTCTTCTTCTGCCTTTTGTATAAGATCCGTTCTACGTGTTGAAAAATTTATGTGAACCGTTTAAAATAATTTATAAGAAAATGTAGAAACTAATTTGATTCTGGTTAACTAATTAAGTAAAATATTTTATAGGAAATTTAGATTTGTTTTTCTTCTTTTAAATTTAATATTATTAAATATTCATAGATTTCTCTAATATTCGTATTATGTAAATTTTTAAATATTTCCTTATGTTTTCTATTTATATGCATAATATGGTCGAAATATATATATAGCCATAAAAAATGCATTCATGACTATGTGTATTGTAAAAGTTGAAGTGAAAATTGTGTTATCTTAATGAACAAGAATTTCAAATTTTATAAAATGTTCAGAAAAATTAACAAGAAATTAATTTAGAAGCATGCAAGCAAGAAGAGATAAAGAGAATTTTTAAATTACTTTGGACATAATATATATATATACTCGTAAAAGAAGTTTAAGTGAAAATTATACTCAAGTTGAAAATTAGTTGGTCAAGACTTGAAATATTGCGTTTGCTTGAATATAAACAAAAATATGTATGTATTTCAATAATATACGCATATTGTATCGGTTTGTGTCTATGACAGTTAGTCTAAAATAGTTATAAAAACAAGTTATACTCGTATATTAAATTCAGTATGTATAATGAATGTTTTTCGAAGTACTTCGAATACTACTTTACTGAAATAATATAGAACATGCGTAAATTCTAGAGTAAATACATATTTTTGACAAGAACCATTAAGAAACTTTATCGTTTTACATGGTTCCGAAGGTTTAAAGTTTACAAAAAATTTTACAATAAAAATATTATTGTATTGTGTTACAAAATTGGATGAATAAATATAAATACCTTAGGATTCAAACATTTTTTTTGACTTGACACGTTCCTTTGATTACGCCAACCATCTGTTTTGCTGTTGTATAAAAGAATTCCCATAATTTATTCTTATAACATGGTTCTTGTCTTTGAAAAATATTAAATTTTTAATTCATCTAAAAAATCATCTTCAATTCCAATTTTAAAATTTTCCCTGTAAACAGGAATAGTTTCCTTTGTAATTCAATAAATTTTTGAATAAATTCTAAATATATAGTTCTTCTTCGTGTACACTTAATTGCAGTGTTGTCGTCGCTTACAATGAAAATATATAGCACGGTAATACTTGTAACACGATAAGGCTTTTTAACCATGTTGCAATATATAACCTCAATACATCGATCAGTTTGCAAGCAGCAAATTTTTGGAAAATGAGTCGTCTTTAAAAATCTTTGAATGCTGATTTATTGAAAATTTAAATTTTAAAAATTTAATTTATTTTGTGTCTTTTTACCAATGCGGTTCAATATAAAATTCAATGTTGCCATCCAATTAGAAAATATAAACTAGCTTGATTTCATGGTTAGTTTTGAATTTTTTTGTAATATTGAAAAAAAAAAATCACTGATCTTAAATTATTGTTCTCGAAATTGTAAATGGTTGAATTAAAAAATTAAATTTAAATTGTAATTCAAATGACACATTTTTTCTACAAAATTTAAAATGCCAATCAATCAAAATTTTGAAACAAACACATAGCCATCTATACTAAAGAAATCTTTAAAATTGAAAGTTTATAATACAAAAACAAAAATTATATTGAAGAATCTCAATAAATTTTGAATTTTTTTAAACCAACTTTGATTGTTTTTTTTTTTTTTTGTATTTTATCCAAATTTATTGAAGATGAGGTCTAGCTTTAATAAAAGAAAACTTTTATTTTTATTCGCTATACAACTGTATTATTAAAAAATAAAATTGAAATCTTTCGAGTATAACAAAAATTTATAAAAAGCAAAAGGTTAATAAAAAAAAAAATCAAATCGACTTAAATTCGATTAAGATTGAATTAAAATCGTTTTGTTGATCGATTAAAAGAGAAATGGAAATTAATTATAAAAGTAACGTTTAATCAAAATCTAGTTAAATGGAATTTTTTTTTTTCAATGGTCTAGCCTAGGCAATCGAAAGTTAAATTCAAAGTTATTTTTAGTGATCTTTGTAATAGAGTCAAACATTTTTGTTTTTAAATTAAGATTTTAAATTATCGATAAATGAATAGCTATCGATAATCTATATACATACACATTTTATAATCTAGACAAATTGATTAAAATCTGAGTTGAAAAAAAAAAATTGTAATCATAAAAAAAAAATTGGGTTTTCTTATTCCATTCCAAGGTGATTAGAGGTATAAGCATTTTTATTAAAGTTTTTGGCGGTCATCATCGTATTCATTTTTCATTTTATAACAGTCAAGTTTTTTTTTGTTTTGTATATTATTTATAGCTGTTTACAAGAATAATGTTATTTTTTAACTAAAGTAGTTAATGTTTACTTGCAATAGTTTTTTATTTCACTCCAAAACACTGTAAAAATTATTTTACTGCCAAAAGATTTTGATCAGCCTGTCATGGTAGGGTTGTTTGTCTTATCAATATTTTTTTTAAACTTTTATTGTTCGAATTTTCAATGCGAAATTAGTATCTTTTTTCTTGAACGCTCAATGCCAATTTAATGAAACTGATACTAAGCAATTCTTTTACTGTGCACAAGAAAAATTCTGCGTAAGTTAAGCAGCAATTAAGGATGTGGATGAGAATGAATGAGATGTGGTTTGCTTGATCGAAAACTATATTGATTTTTGTAGCAGGTGTCCTTTGACTAAAGAGCAATATTAAATCAGTTTAGTAAGTTGATTTTACTCAATAAATTGTAAATATTGTAAATTTCTTCTTCTCTGCAATTGTTAACATAAATTTCCATTATTTCGACTAACACCAACCTAATCAAAAGATTTGTTGAAAGGAGTAACTGAATATAAGTATTTGGGCTGATGCTATTTATATGCATATTGTCTAAGAAATAAAATGTTAAAAATGTGATATTTAAATTTATATATGTTAGGTTTTACTGTTGTATATGATAGAGTTTTAATGCAGAAAAGCATTCCATTCGAACAATACTATTTGTTCAATACAATTGCATACTCCTCCCAACTAGTTCGAACAATTCTTTTCGCAAATTAATGTACAATGCATTAGTATTTTTGCACAGAACGCCACATACGAAAATGTGAAGTTTAGTCTATTCATTAGTGATTCACGTATTATAAGATCGTTGAAGTTCAATTCGATATTAGATTTCAATCGTGTTTTACAGTTAATGTTGAAATATTTCAAGATGACAAAGTATTTGTATTCATTGATGAAGAGAAGTAAAAAGAGGAGTTGTGGGCAAGAACTGTCACGTGCATGGTAGCCAGAGCGATATGGCCCTGTAGGGATGAGAAGAGGACGAAGGCGTAGCTGAAACATGGTAGAGCTGATCTCAGCGTACTAGTGGGGGTGCTAACGGAACATTACATCTTGGAGAAAAGGGCCATAAGGCTTGGAGTCGGGGATGTCAGGATGTTCTGGAGATGGTTTATATGAAACATGTGCTTTGTGCCTGTTCGTTTTTGATTTGAAAGAGGAGCGGCGTCCTGGGAGCTTTCATTTATTATGGCTTGGAGTACCTGCCGGGAGAGTCTTTGAGGTTCATGGCTTTTGAAGTTCGCAATGGAGGTAAACTGCCGTTGGGTCTTCTTTTTGGTCTAGTGCTTCGCGTGGGTACCCAGATTGGGCCGCCCCTTCTTGCTACTACTAATACTACTACTACTACTACTATTCATTGATGAACTGATTCTTGAAACATTTTTCGTATCCCCAATTAGCATTTCTTTTGAAAATCTGTATTGGAGTCCTAATAAAGTGATACTCCGCCTTATTGTATCAAAGTGGTACTTTTGATTTTAACAAAAATTTTCTGGTTCTTAATAAACTGATCTTATCACTATAAATATCACATTGATCGGTGGTTGGTTGCTTTAAATTAAAGAACAATAACTCCGTACTATATTTTTAATTTCTTATACTATATTATATTTTATTTTAAATCTCTTTTGTTCCGTAATATGTGTTGAGCTTTTTCTTTTTTTTTTAGTTTACTACTAAGTAATAAAATTAAAAATTTCAAATTAACATTTTTGATTGATTTGAAATGATTGTGTTGTAAAAATGTCTAAAAGCTGGTACATGCTGATAATTTGATTTTTTTATTTAAAATTAATGAAATATTTCGGTGTCATGATTTTGTTAGCGCGATATTAAAATTTATTTTTGATATCTTTCAACCGTGTATTGGAAAAAAATTTACTTAGGATTTTATATATGTATATACACATAATATATTTAGTCGGAAGTGCTACTGATGTTTTTTTATTCTTTTGATCTTTTCTCTAAATAATTTTTGATTACAATCACCTTTTAATCATTGTTATTGTGCTTTATATAAAACAACTTCCCTATGTTTGCCTATATTTTGTATTACAATTTTTATTCATACTATTATTATTTTATTGAAGGGAGATTATGTTATATAGGTAGATTTAGAGAATAGGTACTTTTAATTTAACTGCAATTTTTCATTGTTGACAATATTTATTATATTTTGCAATGGTAACCCTTTTTATGACAAAGTAGAGAAAAAAATTAAGTAGAGGAAATGGTGTATATTGTAATAATATAAGTGGTAGAAAATAATTTTAAAATTTAGTTAACCGCAAGAAAATTTGTGTGTATACTACTTGAAAAAATTACATCGAATTCAATAAAACAAGTGTTGCATTTTTCTACATGTCAACCATATGGATTCACATGAATGCTTTAAAATATATA